TTTCTTTTTCTCTTTCTTTTTCTTTTTCTTTGTCTCTCTTTTACCTTTTCTTGCTCTTCCATCTTTTTTCTCTTTTCTTTTTAATTTTCTTTTTTATTTTCTTTCTTCTTTCTTGTCTTTCCTTGTGAATGAAGATTTCCAGCAGGAACAGTAACTGATACACAGCAACAAACATTCTTCCTGAATTACCGCATTGCGAATTTCCTATGTTTGGGCCCAATTCTGCACTCTTTACCCCATGAATTGTCCTGGTGATGTCAACGGGACATGAACAGGGAAAACGGGTGGATCAGGCAGGATCAGGCCCTCGAACAATAGGAGCATTGTTGCTGAGATATGAAGCAGCCTGCTGAAGAGGTAAACAGTTAAGAGATGACAACAAGTGGTCAAGTTTCTCAAGGGCAGAGATTTAGAGGAGCAGGAAGGTTAGCGTGGGCCCCGGTGCGAGTGGAAGTTAGAGGACGTGATTGCAGTTCATGGGAACCGAGAGTGCAGGATGGGATACATTCAATTCAGTTTCCTTTGCAGGCTTAAAATAGAGCCATTGTAAATTATGTCAGTCTGTCTGAAATCATGAAAATGATTGTTAAAAAGGCCTCAGAATACACAATGTGCATTGTTGTGGGGCTTTGATGTGTGAAAGATGAGAGCTTATGATATAACACAAATTAAATAAAAATAAAGTGGCCACATGCTTTTTCCTGGCTGGGGAAAAAAAAAAAAAAAGAGGATTTATTACAGAGGGATAATGCTGCTTGCTGAGAATGCTGGTGCCTTGTTTTTAAACAAGGCTGGAGCTGATACTGTTAGAAGCAAGGCAGTGCAGAGGTACGGACAAATTTTAGCACAATGAAGAGCACAAGACATAGGGCAGCCTCGGGACTTGCCCGATGCACCTGCTCGTCCAAAGGATGACAAAAAGGGACATAAAAAGGCACAGAGGAGCTGAGCATTATCCTCTTCGAAACCACGTTTGAATTCAGGGACCTGTAATTTGGTTGCTGCCCCAATTGGCTCCCTGAGGTTTGTAGCAGTGAGAAAATCAGGGACATTCAAAATCCCATTTGCTTCAATGACACGATTCACGCTTCATAGTGTCCCACTCTGCACCATCGGGACCACTTTCAGCCTCCTCCTACGGGAAATGGTTGCTGGAAGCCGGGCTCCGACGTGCCGAGTGTCGCAGGCTCAGGCCCGTGAGCTCAAGGTAGATCTCCTCCCTTCCCTGGTGTCAGGCTTTCTCCAAGGGCAGCTTTTGTGAGGCTGAAGCTCTTCTTCTCCCAGAGGAATTTGAAAGGAAATCCATCGAGCTGTTTTGAGCATCAGACATGCAAATAAATACAGCTGCATTCTTAAAGGAAATTGTTGAAATACAGAGTGTTTTTTCATGTGCAGGAGACAAATAAGCAATATTAAGACTAGCAAAGTTATTAAGATGTGGGATTTAGAGTTACAGCATCCCAGGCACCTGTAGGGATTGTATGCATTATACCAATAGAAATGCTTTGGAACATGAGAGCACTAGACTGAGGTTACTCAGGCTCTAGCCTGGACTTTCACAAGATTAAATTCTTAATTGTAAGTGGGAAAAAAAAAATTTGTTTGTTAATAAGGTTATGCACTTGGAAACACCTGGTCGTCTCCTCCTTCACCTCTTTCATATCCCTGTGGTCTTGCAGACTGAAAGCTCTGTGAGGCAGCTCCGTCTGGTCCTGCAAATATTTGTTTTAATGACTTAACTTTCCACGTGTGAATAGTGACATAAATGGATGTCATTGGAAGACGGGGGTGCTCGCTCGCACCGGAGCGCCGTGGGCTCACGCGGCGCTACGGCCCCGAGCCGTGGCTCGTGGCGGGGCTCTGGGTGCTGACGCAAGACGGAATGACGGTACCGAACATGCAACGCTGTGCGATACAAAGAGCAAACAAGGGAACGTTGCCTTGTAGTGATTTCCGACCTTTTCTGGTTTGTCGGAGCGGGTCTTGGTGCTGCCTTGAGACATTTGTCTGCTCGGATGCCTTGCTTTGGAAGAGGACAATAGCTTTTTGTACATTTGTGTACTCTGACTTCTCCTTACGGCTTCCTAATTGACATTTGGCGGGTTAAAAAAATGGTGTTGCTTGCAAAATTTTGAGGGTGGGGGCAATTATCATAAAGCCTGAGATGTGTTGTTGTTGTTGTTTACATACAGGTGAGGTCTGCCATAAATCCTATACTCAGTTTTCAAACCTTTGTCGTCATAAGCGCATGCATGCTGATTGCAGAACCCAAATCAAGTGCAAAGACTGCGGACAAATGTTCAGCACTACGTCTTCCTTAAATAAACACAGGAGATTTTGTGAGGGCAAGAACCATTTTGCAGCAGGAGGATTTTTTGGCCAAGGCATTTCACTTCCTGGAACCCCAGCTATGGATAAAACGTCCATGGTTAATATGAATCATGCAAATCCGGGCCTTGCTGACTATTTTGGAGCCAATAGGCATCCTGCTGGTCTTACCTTTCCAACAGCTCCTGGATTTTCTTTTAGCTTCCCTGGTCTGTTTCCTTCAGGCTTGTACCACAGGCCACCTTTGCTACCTACTAGTTCTCCTGTTAAAGGACTACCGAGCGCAGATCAGACAAACAAAAGTCAAAGTCCCCTCATGACAAATCCTCAGATACTGCCAGCCACCCAGGATATTTTGAAGGCACTAAATAAGCAACCATCAGTAGGGGAGAATAAGCCAGTGGAGCTTCAACCAGAGAGGTCCTCTGAAGAGAGGCCGCATGAGAAACTCAGTGACCAGTCAGAGAGTAGTGACCTTGACCTTGACGATGTCAGTACCCCCAGTGGCAGTGACCTGGAAACCACCTCGGGCTCTGATCTGGAAAGTGACATTGAAAGTGAGAAAGAGAAATTTAAAGAAAATGGTAAAATGTTCAAAGACAAAGTAAGCTCTCTGCAGAGCCTGGCGTCAATAAATAATAAGAAAGACCACAGCAATCATTCCATTTTCTCACCATCCTTAGAGGAGCAGACTGCGGTGTCAGGAGCGGTGAATGATTCTATAAAGGCTATTGCTTCTATTGCTGAAAAGTACTTTGGTTCAACAGGACTTGTGGGGCTGCAAGACAAAAAAGTCGGAGCCTTACCTTACCCTTCCATGTTTCCCCTCCCATTTTTTCCAGCATTCTCTCAATCAATGTATCCATTTCCTGATAGAGACTTGAGACCGTTACCCTTGAAAGTGGAGCCCCAATCACCCAGTGAAATAAAGAAGATCCCAAAGGGAAGCTCTGAGTCTCCCTTTGACCTCACCATAAAGCGTAAGGAGGAGAAGTCACTCACTCCCATACCCTCAAAGCCAACAGCCCCCTCTGCAGCAAGCCAGGACCAGCCTCTAGATCTCAGCATGGGCAGCAGAAGTCGAGCCAGCAGTGCAAAACAAGCCGAGCCTCGGAAAAACCACGTCTTTGGAGACAAGAAAGGAGGCGATCTCGAGCAAAGGAAAGCTTCGGAGTCCTCCTTGCAGCACGCCAGGCCCACCCCCTTCTTTATGGATCCCATTTACAGGTAACGGACTGTCTGCTGCCTTTCGACATCCTTTGGTACCAGCCGCTGGGTCTGCCAGGGCTGCCTGCCCGCAGATGCAGGACAACCCTGTTCCCCTCCCACCGTCCCTGGAGGTGTCACCCCACCGCTGGGACATGGGGTGGCCCAGGCTGCATGCTGACCTGCACACCCCACCTCAGATCCAAGCTCCTCAGAGTGAATGCCGGGTCTGGGAATGCTGCAATTAGCAAGTCTTCATGACTGCCCTCGCAGTGAGTCGTTAGTTTAACCTGTGTAGCTTGACATGCAGAAGTTGAATGTATTCTCTTACCCAGAAATGAATTGGCATCGGTATGGAATATTTGTGTATTTATGGTGTATTCGACATCACTGGTTTGTCCCAAAGTCCTCTTCTTCCAAAACCGTGTCCTCTACCTTCCTCTGAAAGTTAGAGAGCATCTCACCAGGGTGCCAGTGGTGCACCACCTCCTTAGTTCCTCCTGAATTAAATATGAGTATCTCGTAAGTACAACAAAGAAGCAAATTTGTCCTAAGATGTGTAAAAAAGTATGGAAATTGAGAGTGATTTCTGCCCTCTTTTCCTTTATTTGAGCAATAGGTAGATTTATCGGGGCATGTCGTTAACATAGTTGAAGGCTCAGTGTCCGTGTGGTTAGTTAATCTGGTCTACTTCATGGAATCAATGAGCGCATTGTCGTTGGCTTCGACGGGTGCACAGGCAGACACTGTCAGTAAGCTGAGGTTTTAAAAAACAGTGGTAAAATCCTGACCCCTCAGTGTTTTCCAGTAATGCCGAGATGGTTCTCGCTGGGATCTGGATTTCACCTACATCCTGTGTACATCAGCCCCTCTTTGCCCTTTGCCTTTGTGCTCGTGTATCTGTAACCAGCCAGAGCCATGCATCAAAATTAGTTTAGAGAAATATTAACCATAAAAATATTTATCTGTAATATAAATGACTGATTTTACAGCCCGTTGTTTTTAAAAAAAAAAAAGTTACTGCCATGTAAATGATGTTAATTTCTTACTTTACCTGAAAAAAGAAATGCTATGGGCAAAGTTTTTGGAGAATGCTCTCGGATAAGACAACAGGTATGCATTATGAAGAAACAGGATATGATGCTGTTTACCAAGATGGTTTTAGTCATGCCAGATTGATATCTATATTAGACCGTAGGGTTTTTTTTGCGTCATACTCATTTTAACTGCCTGAAGAGGTGGAAATAATGATCCGTGGTTTATGGTGCTGCGTTACAAACTACTGAAATCTGTACAAATTCTGGCAGTGTGGCACGAGGCCAGTTGTTACCGAGCCTTCCCTTGCCCTGAGTTACATCTGCACACAGACAACAGGATCTGTCCCCTAAACTATACACATCACTAATGGAAAGAGCACAAATCTCCAATTTTCAGACTGCTTCTGAGTTATCCGTGCTGCGTTTTGCTGCCTAAACGCCCACGTGAGTCGATGGCAGTCTTTGTTCCTGGCACATCAGATTCAGCGCGTTCCTGCAAGCCCACCTTTCTTGTGCACAGCCATGGACAAGGAGAGGTTGCCAGGGTGGTGGCTGCGATGTCTCGCATGGGCAGATGAGAAGGGACCTATTGCTCAAGGCTCCTGTTGCCTTGGATTCCTCTCCTCTGAGTGGAGAGCGCACTCGGTTGCCTTATTTCTTCATAAAAGTGCTGAGAAGTTAGTCATTGGTTCCTATTCTAATTATTGCCAGTCTTTTGAAATGGGATTATTTCCGATGTAAATGGTATAATTTCCCTTTAATGGCGATTCACAGCCCCCACCCGCAATAACGAGCCGTATGCGGGAACGGAGAGTTGACTGTACTTCCTTATCTTTTACCGTTATCTCGGAGAAACAAATTACATGATGTGTAATTGACTATTTTAAACGTGAGTAGCTGTATAATTGTTGATGTCTGAGACTGATTCATCACAAGCAAATCTAATTTTAACGTTTACAGAGTAGAAAAAAGAAAGCTAACTGACCCACTGGAAGCTTTAAAAGAGAAATACTTGAGACCTTCCCCAGGATTCTTGTTTCATCCACAAGTAAGTATTTTGGGAGTTTTGATGTTGTAAACAAGCCTGTTGATGCTTCAAAGCAGGTGCAGAGAAATGAATGCAGTCTTAGTCATTTTTGGATTTCCTAAAACACACAGTTTTTGCTGTACCATTGTGGTGGAAAAGCGTAAGCATTGTTCTGAGCTTCTTGATGTTTTGCAGATGAAACAACATGTTTTGATTATAGAGGAAGCCAGATTCCAACTACATGTATGTTTTAGAGCTGCGTTCCTCCAAAACCATAGGGTAGCTACAAGCACTTGCAGCTACCTGTGTCTTCTTCAGCACTCTCCCGTGCTCTGGGCCATTGCAGTGGAGTCAATATTGACTACAAGAAGACGATGTAGATTCAAAGTCAGGCCAGCAAGCTGAGCATCCTAGGTGTCAATATTTAAAGAGTCCCAGAAAAGAGATAAAACCTTCCACCCAATGCTTTCCAGTCTCGTAAGCAAATGCTCCATCTCTTTTAGGTAGCTGTCGTGGACTTTACCGTGTGCAGTGACTTTGTAGGATCCCTGCTCCTCCATGCCTGAAGACATGCTCTATGAGAGGGCTGCTGTCTTGTTCATAGGCCATAATCCTGCTGCTTATTTACTGGCTAACAAAAATTTAGGAAGGTCTCCCTAAAACGGTGTAACAACTGCAATATGTATGTGGTATAGAAAGAGTACCTGTATGCAAGCTATACGTTGCTTTTCTTCAACAGCACTGCACCCTCATTTTGTCCTCCTCCTACTTGCTCAAGGAGATTTTGCTAAAAATTTGGATTAAATCTTATGCCTGAAATAAAATGCACTGTGGTGTTCACAAATTTGAACCCCTTGCTGAATATGGGCTGTTTATCCCACTAATGACACCCCATACGGGTCTCGTATTCTAAGCACACAACCTGGAGCTGCTGTCTCTGGTTGAGCTTCCAGTTCCTTGGATTCCTGGGCAAACCATGCCTATAATCTTCCACCACCTTTTTTTTTTTTTTTTAATGAAGGCAACAGTTGTTATGTCCTAAGTTGTATGGAATATATTCTGAAATATGGGACTGGGAAGAGCAGCTGATGGCGCAGCTGCACAAACATAATGCTATTGCATGGATGGAGAGTGCAGAACAACACCACGTTCCGGTTCCAACTGATCTATTAAGTATTAAAATTATTGAGATTTTGTGAAAGGATTTAATAGCAGCTCAGGACCTTTTGCTGAGTTACCTTATTTCCCAAGTTGCAAAGCAACAAGTAAAAATTCCCAGCAGATAGTACAAATGCACAAATACACAAAGAGGAGCTCAGTCCTCTTTGTGTCCCCTGGTGTAAAACCAGGCCGGTTCCTCTCCATCAAGCGAGTGATTCTGTTAGAGCAGGTGAGTGGCTGTAAGTTAATAGTAAATTATTTCAATGAGGGCGTTTTAGGTGGTGTATCAATGGAAGAAACGATACTATTTTGCTTAGTGCTAGCTAGATTTTCAGAAGGTGTATCTCTGTGTCGTTTAGTGAAGTTGGTTCGAGGGGCTCAGAAGGTTTTGCCGCATGTTGGCGTGATGATGGTGGTAGGTAGCGTGGTCGGTGGGTGGGAAAGGAGGCTGTTTGGGTAAAATGCATTGGTAGGGGTTTGGCTGTGGTGGGCAGGGAAGGAGTTGGTTTCTCTTCTACGTAGTGTTGCTTGACTCTGGGTTACGTGGGGAGCTGGAGGAGGGTTAATGGGAATTAGGCGAGGATGCCGTAGGCACACAGGTGAAATGGAGACACTGGGCATTCAGGATTTCACCCTTCATGTTTTTTCCCAAAGAGTTGGTTAAATCTGTGTTGGTGCCCAAGGAAGGTCCCAGTGAGGTTGCCAAGTCTGTCAGTGTGAGCAGGAGGTGCCACATGCCACCTCCCTGCTGCGGTACCAGCCGAGGTGGGGCAGAGCCAGCACCCTTGGGCTGGAGAGAGGGCTGGTTGCACATCCGTGGTGCTGAACACATGCACAGGAGAGCACAAACATGCCCATTAGACCTTTTTTTAGCCCATTCCCCCACATTTCTCATTGTGTAGTAGAAAAAGAAAAACCCGACTGGCTTTCATTTTATCACTCACCTACCTGCCAGGGATCCTGTCTTCAACTTGGTGTGAGACGGATGGATACAAAGGTCATGAGTGTAACATGCACTCTTAAAACAGTGTAAAAAAAAAACCAAAAACAACTAAACCACCATCACATGTCCTGTCAATAGAGTAAATGCCAAAATCTGCTTTCTTGCTGACTTTAATAGAAAGGAGTCTCCTGTTTGCAAAGGCAGAGTTTGGCTCGGTATTTATAGAGGACTGGGGAACAGCTTGCAGAAAAGCTCTTTTTCCTTTATAGTCCTGTTCACCCCTGTAAAAGTACAGGTGTGGAGTGCACCGCCAGTTTTCATTTTCTGCTGGCAGGATTTATGTATGTAAAATATGAACAAATTATTGTTTGTGTCCTACGAATTTCTGTAGGTGAATTTATTTCTGAAATTTGCCATCTGATGAAACAAGAATTTGGGTTTTTTTTAACTGAATAATAATGACGGCTAACAGATGGATCTTTAAAATAGGTTTCTGAAGTAGAGATTAAAGACATAAACTCTGCAGTCCTTACCTTGTCCCTGCCTGGGCAAAATTCCTCCCAGCGGCAGTGGCCCGAAAGCTGTGAAAATTAGATCATTTAACGATATTTCACAATAATTTGCCATTACAAGAATTGCGTTTCTGGGGAGACAATACCCCGATGCAACAAATCATTCAAAATAACATTTTAATTAGTATCTTTAAATAAAATCTTAATTAGTAGATTGATTGCAACGAGGGTTCCAACGCAAGAATAATGTGTTGTTTTTGTTTCAATTTTGCTCCCAGTTCCAATTGCATGATCAAAGAATTTGGGTAAGTTCATTGCTTATATTTTTGATTTAATCATTGTGAAATAAATTGCATAAGAAAAATATAATATGAAAGATAACTTACCTCTCAATTACCAAGCATGCCATGCTTTCCTACAGAGTGTTGTAGCTGTAGCAGATAAATATCCTCTTATGTCAAATTGGCTTGATTTTTACCTACCTAATCCTGCCGGGTTTATTTGGTGAAGGCAATGGGAGCTTTACCTGAGTGAGGATTTCTAAATGCAGTCTTTGTTTATATTTAACTGAAACTGTTCCAAGCTGTTTCCTTCAGCGATTGCAGTGAAATTTTGAGGCTGAAATCCTGTTAGATTGCAATAGTTATAGATATTTAATCTGCATTCGAGACGTTAAAATGCAGAGCCTCAGAGGACTTCACGTTTTATCTCGCATCGACTTCAGTGGGAGTTAGTCACTTTAATAGCTTTGAAGTTTTGAGCTTAATTGCTCGTTGCTGTAGTTAAAGCAGAAATAAAACATCCATTTATTTGCCATGTTTGGGTCAAATTTGCCCTGTGTGTATACTTACATCGTCCCCCTTATAAGAACAGGGATTGCGCTTTTAGTACTGTGGGATAAATTTGAGCTTGCTTCTATTTTTTTAAAATCTTATTTTTAATACATCTAAATTGTTCAGGAAAAAAAAAAGAAAAAAAGAGCCACAGCAACTGCTTTTGCAGATGCAGCTCAAATAACACCGTGTTTTGCTTGTGTGTTGCTGGCTCCTCAGCTGCAGCACTGAACCCATAAATACTTGTCCCAGGTTTTTCCCAACCTTTGGGCTTTGGAGAGGAGAGCTGGAGCCAGCCGGCTGCGGCTCAGGTCCTGACTCACTCTCGCTCATCACTCGCAGTGCGACGTGGACTAATTTCACAAGATGAAGCCAGAATTTCACA